ACTTTTTTTGTTGGTGATGGTGGTGGTGGTTGGGAAGGGTGCAGCCTACCTGGATTTCTCCCAAGAAGTTCCCTCCCTGTCCACTACCCAGGTATTCAACTCATGGGTAAGTGATGTTCCACCCAAGCTTCTAGGATTGGACTCCCTGCCCGGGTTCTGCTCCCCCGCAGCCCTTCCTCATGGGAGGGAAACAGGGCAGCTCTGCACAGGACCTGCAGCTGAGATGTGGCGAGGAGCCCACAACCTGAGTTAGCCCGTCATCAGGGGGTCACCAGCTAGTCCTCATGATACAGAGCCAGGGATGGCCATCCTGGCAGGTGAGCACGCTCCCTGCCCAGGGCCTTAGCAGACATTGTTGATCAGTTGCATCACTTACACTCAATGCAGAGCTGTAGAAAACATGATCAGTCAGGGCTGGTACCCTGGTGAAGCTGACTGGCCATTCTTGACCCAGACACAGGACCCAAAGGGCAGGGTGAGTCTGAGTCAGAGCCAGACAGGGCAGCAGCAGGCGTCACACACACTGGACTTTCAGAAGCCCTGAGGGAAAGGGAAGGGGGCAGGCTGGCCGTGCAGGACTGCAGACAAAGCCGATGATGTCCATTTGCCCAGGGCTCCAGTTTACCAAGCATCCTCACTAATGCCTGTAGCTTTTGAGATAGAAATTACTTTTGTCACAGCCAAATATATGGAGACCAGGGAGGCACTTCGCCTGATGTCACCATGTGGTCCACTTAGTGGACACACTTCCTCTGAGGTACAGGCTGGTGCCTTGGGAACACGGGTAAGACAGGACAGGAGATCAGATTCTCCCGAAAGTGTATCCTGAAGCTGAGGCCTGGGAGGGAAGCCGTGGGAGGAGAGTGGAAGGCAGTGGTGTGGTATGCTGGCAGAGGCAGGGCGGGCTGAGGGTCTTATTTGTAGCATTTGCTGATTCTTGGGGTGTGAATGCTCTTGCTTTGGTCCAGTTCAAGCTACCAGCACAGCACCACTAACCGCGGGGTTGGGAAGGATGAGCCATCGGGATCCAGCTCCAGCTCAGGGCAGCAGTGCCCAGAGAGGGGCACCTGGTTGTCGGCTCCCCCTGCATCTGTGGTCCGCGCAGGCTCTCTGCCTGGGCGGCCTGCAAACTCCTCCTGCCAGGGCATCTAACCTGCCACCCGCAGGTCACATGCAGCTCAACACAAAATCATAAATTTACTTAAAACCTTTTTTTAGATAATCAGTTTTCATTAGTGTTTGTGTGTTTTATGTGTGGCTCAAGAAAACTCTTCTTCCAGTGTGGACCAGAGATGCCAAAATGTTGGACAACTCTGGGCCTAAACCCATGGGGTAGCTGGGCTTGGGGCCTGTGCTCTGGCTTCCAGCTCCTTGATCTTTCTTCCACAGCCTGCAGCTCCCTCCAGTGACACGGTGGGCAGATGAGGAATCTTGAGAACCAGAGACAGTCAGGAGCCACTGGGGAGGAGTGGAAGTGGGAGGCACCCACCCTTCTAAGACTCTACCCACGAGCCCTTCCCTCCTTGTGGGTGGTGGCTGCCACTTGCCGAGGGCAGGGGATGTCAGCTTTGCAGGAGTGGCCAGGACCCAGGGGAGCTGGGAATATCCTCTGGAAACCAGGGGCAGGTTCAGGGGGCAGGTCACCCACCCCTTTCCAGACACTAGACCCTATCTACACCTCATTCTGGGTCACAGCGCAGAACCTGGAAGTGACCACGCTCATTCCACAGACTTGTGGATGTGGCCCAGGGAGGGGCAGAAGCTTCTGGGATCCTGCAGGAGTCAGGTGGGATGGGCACCCCCACTCCCTGCGCTGTCAGCCCACCTCCTGCCCCTGCTGGCTGGTAAACCAGGGGACACTGCGAGGGCTAGCTGGCAATTACCCATGTCTGCCCTGCCTTCCTGTCTGGAAGCCGATTGACTTTTCCAGCAGTGACACCCTTGAAGTCATTTGCTTAGGGAACTGGCCTTGGCCCATCCGTAACAAAGAACAAGGCGGCACCCTAATGCCTGAGCAGCCCAGGACTCGGGCTGAGTCCATCATGATTGGGGACAAGTGGGGCTGGGTGGACTGTAAAGGACCATCAGGTACACCCTGGCCTAGGGGTAGCAGCTACCACTCAGCTCCAAGCAGTGGTTCCCACAAGGCCAGAAATTCTGGTTTTTAAAGAGAAGCCCAGTATCCAATTTTTTATGTGAGATCTTAAGATTTTTCAGTGCTGGCAATGTTACAAAAGCATTTTTTTTTAATCATATGGGTCAAACCAAACACATTTTTAGGCCACTGTCTACAGACTCCAGTCTTGAGCCTAAATCCTTTGTGAGCCATGGAAATCTCTCCCTTGCCTGTGAGGGTCCCAGCTACCCCTTCCTCTCCCTCTCCCAGCTACAGCAGTGCCCACCAAGACGCCTCCCCTGCAGTCCCTCCGGGGGCTGGCAGCCCCTCACTGCATCCAGAGCCTGTGGCTTCCACTCTGAAGATCATGGTCTGAGACTAGACCCCTGCCTCTATCATTGCTGCTGTGGACCACAGACCTTCAAGTTCCTCTTTCCCCAGTTCTTGCAGACGACTCCTACTTGTGCTGATCTCAAGGCTTCCCATGTCCTGACCCCTTGGTCCTTCACCTCCCCTCCTCCACTGACGTTCTCTCCCACCCACCCCTACACACCCCCTGCCTAGGTCCCTCACTCCCTGTCCTCACAGCCCCTCAGCCAGTTTCAACCCCATGGCCCACTATTGTCACTTTTGTACCACCTCAGTGTCCAGTCCCTGGCTTCCTGGACTCTCCCAGCACAGCTTCCACTCACATGCATCCAGCTCTCTCCCCACAGTTTTGCACACAAGGTGGCAAGGAGAATGCCTCATCGCTCGCTGCCAGTCTCACTGCAAATTGTGCCACTAAAGTCGAACTGGTGCTTCCCCCAAAACCCAGGCCACTGCCCAGTGCAGCCTGCTTCCTCTCTCTAGATCTTTAGTCCCTCTTCACCGCACCCCCCAACCTCCAACCTCTGGTTTCCACCTGCTGGAGGAGTTCACGACCCTCCACTGCAGAGCCCACACACACTGCCTCTGTGTTGCTATAAGTGGGCTCCCTGCCCCGACCCTAGCATCTAGTCCTACCCAAAAGCTCAGGGCTCTTGTTAAACCAAGACCAGAACCCTTCTCTGCTCTCAGCTCACTCTGAGACCTGGAAGGCTCTATACATGCAGCCTCAGTCCCCTGTCAGCTGTTTCCCCTCACTCTCAGCTCAGTCCAGCTTGGCGCCTGAAGTTCCAGATCTCAGAATTGTTTGCCCACTTACAAATGAGGGCTGTCCTTTCCTGGGAACTGTGAGGAGAAAATTGTGCTGCCAGTACTGTAGAGCTACAGGGCACAGTGCACAGAGGTTTTCAAGGAAGCATGTCCACAGTAAACCCTGGGTGTTTGCTGACACCCAAGCAACGGCCATAGTGCTGTGCCAGGGGTAGTTGGGACCAGGTGGGAGCAGTTTCCCTAAAACGACAGGGGTAGTCCCAAGAGCGGACTCCAGAGGGCACCACCACCACAGCTGAGTGGCCTTTGCCTGAGCCCTGCCACCAGGTACACCTGGCCAGGGGAGGCTGCTGCACTTTCGCAAACGGAGGTGATTTGACCCAGCACCCTTCTCGTCAACCACTGAGACTGGAGGCTGGGGAGGTGGGCAGTACGTGGGTGTGTGTGTGCAGGAGCTGGAGCGCAGGGCTGGAGGCCACACAGCTACTCACAGCTACTCGGACTAGTGTTGGGCAGCTCCCAGGAGGAGGGGGATGGAGAATTAAACTCCCCCCTTCAGAGCCTGGTCTGGTTCCCAACGGCAGTGACCGTTGGCCTCTGACTTCCCCATCGCTGGCCCCAGCTTGGAGGGCAGCTGCCTCACCTGTGCCTATCTCAGCTCCTTGAGTTCAAGGCTAGACAGCATGGCCTTCAGTCCCAGCAGCCCACCCCTGGTGCCAAACATCGTGAGTGCCCCCAGGTCTGGGTTCTGTCATACTCAGTGATGGGCTTGTGTTCCTGGCTTCAGCACGCTCACCTGTTAACTAAGGGGTGGTCATGCTAATTGTCTCTACCATGGCCTAAAGTCGCAAACACCCTAGAGGGCAGGGTGAGTTCCAGTGATGCTGTCAAAGGCCGCCTTCTGACAAACCTGAGGCCAGAAGTCAGATGCCTGCCACCCTGGTGTCCAACTGCCCAATAGTGGCCCTGCCTACCCAGGAACATGTATGCACTTTGCAGACGGCTGCCAGCTCCTGAGGACAGGCAGCATTGAGAGGGGCCCTCCCTCCCTCCTTCCCACTGAGACAGGGGCTCCTGCTGCCCCCACAGAGCCCACAGGAAGGAGGGCCTTGGGCTGTAGGGTATGAGCGAGTCCCTGGAGCAAGCACTTCTGAAACTGTGGATATCCAAGCCAAGCTCCTGGCCCCTTTGCTTCCCTTTCCCCACAGGTGCCTTCAGTGGGAACCTCCTAACCCACCTGTGGGTGGCAGGCAAGTGGGGGTGGATGGGTGAAGGCTCAGGGAAAATGCAGCAGCAAGGCCTTGTGAGTCTGTGCCACCCCCAGGGCAGATGGGCTGGATCCTCAGCCCCCAAGAAGACTAACAGCTGCAGGGTCCATCACTCTGCCCGAGGCCTGTGGCTTAGATTCCTGCTGGAGTCACCCCTCTGCTCTACCACTTACTGGCTGGGATAAGCTGGGGAAGTCACTGCCTTCTCTGAGCCACAGGCTGTAGGTACAGTGAAGAAGGTAACGAGCAGTTGTCCTGAGGATCCAATAGGGGAGGCAGGTCGAAGGCATGGGCATGAATGTCACAGTCTGCTTAAGTGGGAGCAGGAGCCTGTTTTGCTTTGGGTCCCACTCTCTGAGTGGGTGCTGGGAGGTGCCTCTCCTTGGTTTCCCAGGTTGTCCCAATGGCAGCCCCACTCACAAACATGTCCCTGCCTCACCAGCCCTCAGGAAGATCACACCATGCATATCTCAGGGAAGGTGGGTTTACACTGGCATTTTATTGGGTTTTCTGTGTGTACCTGGATGCCCCAAGCTGCTGTCCGGCTTCTCAGCCCCTCACCCCATTACTGGCCTCCACTCTGGGGGCCCCAGCCCTGCACTGTCTCCTCCCAAGGCCTTCCCACAACTGGATCCCCAGCCCCCAGACTCAGGCTGTGACCGTGAGACAAGCCCGGTTTTCCCACGGCCTCCCTCTGTGTTAGGCTGCCCTGCCGAGGGCCCGTTCCTGCGTTGGGCACAGCCGAGCTCTCCTGCAGAATGCGCTTCCAGCCCAGAGCCCCCTGGCAGTACCTCCCATCTCGGGGGGTATGTGTCAGACCCTCCACGGAATAGCAAGCTCCGACCTACAACTTGGTGTTAAGGTGGAAAGAGAAGTGGGGCGCTGCATAGGTTGTGGCAGGTGGCATGTGCCATGCAGACGAGGCTGGGCAAAGTCTATGGCGGAGGGCACTGTCAAAGGATGGTGGGGGAAAGTGCATAAGGCCAGTGGCCATGGGCGGGGGTGCTGTAGTGGCCAGGAAGTGAGCTGGGAAGGCTGGGATGACCAGGGGGCTGAAGGGGAGCGTAGCCTGGCCTTTTAAGGGGTCAGGGGTGCTGGTGAAGTTCAGTGGGCAGCGCAGCATGGTGCCCCTGTAGGTATCTGGGAGGGCAGGCCCCAGGGCTGGGCTCAGCAGGCAGGAGACAGCCAAGCCTGGCCCCATGGACTTGACCCCGTACTCCTTGGCATCCACCTCCTTGAGAAAGGGAGACACTGCCCGCAGTTTTTTGCCACCAGGGGCAAAGCCCTCTTCCTCCTGGCCACGCTTGCTGAGGCCTGGGCTGCTGGGGAAAGTGGGCAGGGGCATGGGGCTCTCGGCAGGAACCTTGGCCATGGGGGACACCCAGCAGGCTTTGGGCTTGGGATAGAGGTTGCCTTTTCTGGAGTCACCTCTGTGGAATGCAGAAGGACGGTTGATATCCCCACCCCATACCAGCGAGGGCGCTTTCACTGGCAGCCCCTCCTCTTTGCCAGGGGACCCCAAAAGCACCCCATCTTTGAGATGGGGAAAGAAGTCCCGGGGGTGCTGGCTGATGGGCTTCAGAACCTTGGTGGGATAGGCGTGGAAACAGCCAGTGAAGACAGGGGCCGGTGGGTGGGGGCCCTCCTGAGCCTCCTCCCTGAGGCTGCCACCAGAGGCCTGTGGTCCCTCCTGAGGGGCCAGCCGGTGCCTGTGGTTCTCAGGTGGCCCTCCTGGGCTCCGGGGACTCTCTGGGGGGCGAGCAGCGGGGGACACCGGGGGCTCCCCATCGGGGCTGCCTGTCCCGTGGCAGCAGCTCTCCTCCCGGCAACGCAAGGCTTCTGCCCGGCTCACCTGAGCCAGGAGCTTCTTTTTGGCCAGTGGCGACATGATCCCATGGGTGCCTTTGCAGTAAAAGTTGGACAGGAGCCGCTTGTAGGCCTCAGGGCAGCCACTGACACCCACAAAGGGTAGAGAGGACCCAAGAGCTGGGCCTGGCTGTTCAGGGTCATCCTGGGGGTACTCTTGGCTGAGGGGTCTCACCAGATCGACTGTATCCATCTTGTTCTTTGCTGGCATCATCTAGAGTAAGGAAGGGCCAGGCCTCAGAGCTGTGCATCAGCCATGCACCCTGACTTGGGAATGTGGTGACACAGGACCCCAGGGGCACATGGTAGCCTCTGCTAGCCTTCCCAGAATGCCTCTGTACATTTTTGAAAGGAGTCCTGTCCTCTGAAGGGACACAGCCTGGTGTCAGGGCACAGGGCCTGGAGAACAGAGTACAGACTGGAGTTCAGGTCCCACATGGGCCCTCAAATACTGAACAACTGACACCAGCAGACTGTGGGTGTTCTGGGGGGGAACTCTGTGGCCATGCCACGGCGAGGGCAGGTGGGGGCAGCTGGTGGCCCTGGCTGGGGTTGGAGCTCACCTGGCCCACTGGTTTCTCCTCCTTGGCCTTCTTTGGCCTCTCGGCGGCCCCATCGTCCCCCCGAGGCTCCTTGGCCATTTTATATTGCTTCCTGGGCTTGGAGGGAGGCAGTGGCTTGTCATCCTCTCCCTTCAGGTGCCGCACGTATGGAAGGACAAGCCTGAGGAGGGAGTTGCACGTCTGCCATGAGGCCAGGACCAGCAGGCACATGCAGCCCTCCCATCCCCACCCCACTCCTCCTGCTCCTCCCCACAACCTCGCACACCTCCAGGCAGTGCCTGCAGCCTGGGCCACGCTCTTTCTCGTCCTGTCCGGAGGCTGGCAGCTAGGCGGCTCTGCCAGGGCTCTGGCTGCGGTGGGTGGCACAGCACCCGCCCGCACCCTGCCGCGCACCCTGCCCCACCTCTGCACACTACTGCCTATCGTCCTGCACCCACGCCCCCAGGAGGGAGGGGCCCGGCTGCCCTGCACTGCCCCAGCCGCACCTCTCATAGTGGCGGCGTGTGCACGTGGCCGCACTGGTGCTGCCTGGGCTGCCCCCCAGCTCGTCATACACGTTCTTCCAGAGACGGCGGCCGGTCACCTGCAAGGGCACCACATGAGGCAGGGTGCCCACCAGCAGTGGGGCCAGGTTTGGCAGGGGCGGCTGGCCAGTACCTCACCCCCTACCCTTGGCCGCTGGACTGCTGGCCCCAGCAGCTTTCTGAGCTCAGGGAAGGCAGAACAGATGGGAGGACAGGAGAACTTGCTCTGAGCAGTACAGTACCAGTAGGCAGGCGAGCCTGTCTCCCCCCCCTGCATGCAGGAAAGCTGGGGAGGGACGGGGCCTGTCTGGAGGCACAGGCAGCTCTGTCGGGCTCCCGCTCTTTCCAGGTCCCCTTTGGTACAGCTGGGATGTGTGGGGAGAAGCAGCGTGGTGAGGACTCAGAGGTGTCTTCCTTACCATCTCATAGGCCCCCAGTTTCTCCACTGCCTTGTAGATCTTCCACAGGTTAACTGGACAGGAGAGAGGGCAGGGCCACCGTCAGTCTCTGCCAGAGGAAGGGGCAGCCAGCAGCCCATTCCCACGGCCCTGTCAGGCAGCACAGAATCGGGGCCACTGCAAAGGACCACAGGCTGGGCGGGGCCTGTGCACTGGCAGCCCAATGGCCAGTAAGGAGGGAAAGCCAGCCCAGTACCTGGGAGTGACCTTTCTACATGCAACCCCTGTGGGCTTGCAGTGTGGAGGTCACCCAGAGTGGAGGTGCCTACCCCAATGGCCTGCTAGGTGAGGTCCCCTACTGGGCCCCCCTTCCCACCTGTACCCCAGACACGCACTCTGCTTGAAGCCAAGATGAGGCAGCCTCTCAATGGGTGTGTGTCGCTCCTTCATGAACTTGTAGAGGCTGACCAGGAAAGCCTGCTCCTCCTCTCGCTCCTGCTCCTCCTCCAGCTCCCCGCCTGCCTCAGGGGAGTCCTGGGGAGAGAACAGGAGGCACTGGGATCAGCCCCAGTGGGGAGGCAGCTGGGGAAAGGTGGAACCACCGGCTGCTGGGGAGGAATGAGGTGTGTGTCCCCCAACCCCAGGCTCCCACAGAAGGGAGCAGTCCCCGAGCACCCAGCCTATTCCTCTGGGCTGGAGTGATTGTCCCGGTGTTAGAAAGAGGCCGTTATTGGCTACTGGTGCCCAGGACCCCAGGTCAGGGTCCACGGAGGTCAGGCTCCAGAAGATCAGCCTCCCACTTCCTCCAGGCCCCTCCCCAGGCACAGGTCACTTCTTTAGGTTGCTCTAGCTTGGTTACATCTGTGTCTCAGGTCTTCTACCAGACCGTGAGCCTCTGGTGACAGGCTTGGTGTCCCCAGACCTCCAAATGGCCCGCATGGTCAAAGCTGGAGGAACGAAGGTGCTTTGTACTTTCTGGCGCTGGGAGGCCGCTCGGCTGGGCCTGTGCCCACCCAGCCTTGGCTGTGGCGGCCTTGCTGTCTGACCTGCCAGTCTGTGTGCTGACCTCAGGGAGATGGAGCCTTGTCCTGGGCTCCTGGCACACTTCTTTCTTTTAGTCTCTGCTCCCAGGGGTGTAGTTTCTGCTGATGCTGTTCATCTGGCTAGTAGCTCAGGGCAGAGGGGGATGGTCGGGCTGGGGGCTGAGGGCTGAGGGCACAGACAGCTCCCAGGTCATGGGTGAAAGTCCCTGAACACCTGAAGAACGTGACCATCCAGGCCTAGAGCAGAACGGGGCCATGCGCTCCCAACATCCTATCAAGCGCCATTTCAGTGTTTCTGACTTACCCAAGACCTCCAACAGCAAACACATGGGCTCAGGTGTCACCCATGAAACTGTGACATGCTGGAGACCAGGGCGCTGGGCTGGTGCCCCCAGAGGAAGGTGCTCACTACTGCTTTCCATGTGAATTCGAGCTTCTGTTCCTCTTCTCTGAACTAGGCAGGCCGTTAAGAACTGGGGCCACTTGTGACTACTTTTCTACATAAATTAGGATTTTTACTCCAGACTGTGCCACCAAAGCAAACGGCCAACGTGGATGGGGGCCGAGGCCAACACTGCAGCGTCACCCACGGCCGCTCCTCAGACCGAGCTTACCGACCTAAACAGTCTCACTGATCTCACCAGGTGACTTGCGTGCCCATTATAAGTTTGGATGGGTGATGGATGGGTGCAAATGCAGTTTTACTCCATAGAATAGGGCTTGTCATCTGATCAGCATTCCAGGTAATCTTTGTTTGTCATCTGATCAGCATTCCAGGTAATCTTTGTTTGACAAGGGTTCCACTATGGAAAAGAAGTCTGGCAGCCCTGCCCTGGCACTGCGAGCCCTCCTGCCTGCCCAGCACCCACACCCTTGATGCGGGGCCCGGGGCCACGGGCTGGGCCCCTCTCCTGGCTCTGCAGGATTGGGGGAGGGAACAGGTCTCCCTCCTGAGAGCTTGGGGGTCTCCACGTTCTCCTGGAAAGGACCCTGGGGGAATTGCCTAACTCACCTCCAGCTGGATTGGGCTCTGGCTCCTGCTCTGCTCACCGTCAGGTTGAGGGGACACAGGTGGGTCTAAGGGGTCACCCCCCTCTGACTGTTTCCTTTTCCCTTCGACAGGAAGAAGAGGGAGAGAAGGAGAGAGAGAGGACACGTGAGATGCAGGTAGGGAGAAACAGGTGGTGAGGAGAGGCTCCCTGGGGTTAGGTGCCAGACCTGAACGGGCCAGGGAGGAGGAGAGTCCTCTCCTTCCTCTGCCCTTGAGGGGGGTCCTGTAAATGTGCCTGTGTCCACACCCCAGCAGGCCTGCCTGGGGCACACCTGCCTCTTGTCCTCCCCCTGTTCCAGCGGGTCCCCACATCTCTGAAGGAAACCCTAAACCACCTGGGGGGCCAGTCAGAGGAGGCTAAGGCTGGGATCATGGCGCTCAGGGAAGTCTGTCTCCAAACTCCGCCCCGCACTCAGGCAGGAAGTTTGCAGGGCAGCTCAGCTGAACTGGAAAAGCCACCGAGTCGGGCCATGGTTGTGGGAACCCAAAGCACCACAGGGGTGTTTGGACCATAGTACATTCTCCAGAAAGGACCCAGAAAAGAGTAACTTCCTGTTTGGGACACACTGGACCTGTCCATGAACATCTGCAGAGTGCTCACCACCCCCTCCTCTCTCATCTGCAAGGGTCCTGGTGACCCTTCAGATCCCACCTGACAAGTCGATTCCTCTGCATGACCCCTCCCAGCCGCAAGCCAGGCACAGCACTCCTGCTTTTGTCTGGTGTCATCACTCCTCACCACCGTCCTGATTGCCTACCACTGTCAGCCAGTTAAGGTGAATGCAGGGAAGAGCCCAGGACCCCTCACTGTCAAAAACCCCTCTGTGGACACTGCCTGGGAACACACCAGCAGTAGGTCCAAGAGACCAGAAAGCCACGTCTTTTGACAACCCTTCCTTTCCCTTTTTCCTTTCCTTGTTTCTTTGTGTTAATATGAACTGTTCTACAGCCCTGGTTCGCTCTAGCTTGGGAAATCCTTACAGTTGGGGACCTGTGAGGTTACCCCTCCATCCCAGACAGAAGAATCTCCCCGAGAACAATGGGCTCATACCAACATGGCCCAAAGACCAGCAGCACCCAGAAGCACATGCTATTAAGCTTCAGCCACTGGATACTGTCCTCTACAGTAGCTGTTCGTAGATGTGCCGCCACACCTGCCGTTATTCATATTGCATGGGTCCCCGGCTCTGAGTCTCTGGCTCTATCATTTAGTCCCAGAGGGGATTGCCTTTTAAAGAGGGGAAAACTGAAGCTAGAGAGGTTAAGTTCCTTTCCCCCTGGGGGCCCAAAACTCAGAACAAGATCTCTCTGACCCCCAGTCCAGTGATCTGGCCTTGCCAACAGTGTGGCTGCTGCGGCTTGAGGAAGAGTCTTCAATAAGCCTGGAAGGGAAACCAGTCCTGCCACTTGTCAGAGAGAGAGACAGCCACCCCCTCAGGCTGGGTTCTGACCACCTCAGACAAGGCCGAGCTCCAGAAATCACTGGTTGCTAACAGTGGCATCCAGACTGATGCTTTTCCTTGCACAAACCTGTGCCTCAGTCTTCCCTTCTGTAAATCAGGAGAGAAAATTCTGGAGCCCTCTGCTAACTGTCCATGAATTTCTGAAGTTTTCTGGGCCATGGAAGCATCTGCCACCACCAGCTCCTCTTCTTCCCCTTTCTGCCCTGTCTGCCCTGCGATCACATCCTTTCCCTTCTTTCCTGCTGGCTCAGGTCCTCAGCAACAAAAGACTCTCTCCATCTGTTCTGTGCCTTGTGCTTCCCACTGGAGCCCTCCTGCACATTGGCTCTGTGGCCCTGGCAAGTCGCTGCCCTTGGGCCTCAGAGAAATAGGTGGTTGGAACAGGGCCTGTTAGAATCTCCTGGGTGGAATTCTAAGTTGGTCTCCCCACCCCAACCTGAGTTTAATTTAAGGTCCTACTGGGGCCGTGCATGTTGAAAGGTCACCAGGGCATCCCAGAGGGCAGCCAGGTTGAGAGCCACTGGGCCAGAGGATCTCTAGTCCCTTCTGCTGGAGTTCCAGGGTTGGTGACCTCTGCCTGGACCACACTCAGGAAAGATATCCTGGAGTCAGGTGCTCTGGTTACCTGGAAAAGAGGTCACCAACTGAGCTGTTTAACCCCAGGCAGCGAAGGGGTTAGAGCGCTTGTGAGAGTTACAAAGGGACAGACTCTCTTTACCTCGAATCCAGCTGAGTCCCCACATGAACTCAGCCTCCGTTCTCTCCCGACCAGGGCCAGATGCTCTCCCTGTCCTGGCTGGGTCTTCCGGCCCCACTGCCACAGCCTCAGGTGACGGAGAGGAGTCCAGGGTGCCCTCAGACCTGGCCTGGCTGCCTGAATCCCCTCTTTCCCCAATCATTTAGAAATCAGGGTTCTAGAAAATCTGCATTCGAAAAAAGGTTCTGCTGAGAAAAATAAGTTTGAACTCCTCTGCAATGGCTGATGGGCGAGCCTTCCTGCCTGCCCAGCTTCTGGTTATCACCCTTCCCAATGCAGGGCCATCCCAGACTCCCAGCCACTTCCAGCTACAAAAGCATGAGAAACTACCTGCCCTGAGTGACCACTACTGACCACGGAGCCAACGTGTGACTGCCCTGCTCTGAGCAAAAGCCTCAGAATGCCCTATTGTAACAGAGGAGGCAGATTCAATCCCAGCAACTTCTGCTCACCAAAGGAATGGCATTCAGACCCTGCTTTTCCATCCAGGAAGCAATAATGACAATAATGGTGATGACTGTTTCATTGTTTACTTTGAATACATCTGGAATCTTTAAGGTATGAGATAAGGACCTAACCATATTCCTCTCCCCACTGGTTAGGTGGTCCCAATATTGACTGAGTGACCCTCTCTCCCAATAATTTGAAATGCTACTTTCCCCAAGATCTAAAGGCTTCCAAGGAGGACATGTGGGACAGATGTGGGCCTTCAGTCTTGTTCTGTCCACTGTGGAATGCTGGGACCTGCGCACAGTGTTGTAATTTGTGCGGCTTTGTAAAACAACTTACTCTCCAAAAGGCATGTCCTCATCATTACACTTCTGTTTAAAAAATGCCATCTGAACCTTAGGGAAATTTTGTTGCATTCCCTTCAAAAAAGGAAACCACTGGCTTTTTACTGAATTGTATTTAAGTCTAGAAATTTGAGGAGAAATAACACCTTTCTGTATTTCATCTCCCCCTTCAGGACCATAGATTCAGGTCTCCCTTCATGGTCCTCAAATGGTCCTTCTTAAGGCTCTGTCTCATTCCTTTTAAGCTTATTCCTTGTGAAGCAAGATAATAGTGTGAGAAAAGCCTTGATAATCAAGGGTGGGAATTGGCTGCACAGGAATCGGCTCCATAGCCCCCTCACTGCCCCAGTTCATGGCTGGGAAGAAGACAAGGGAGGCTGGTGGCTGGGCCAGGTAAACCCTGGCCCTTGTGGCCCAGCCCCTTGCTGGGCAGCGAGTGTTTGTGGCAGTGGCTGGACAGGGGACTCCTCAAGACCCTTCCTGTGTTAGGAATCTCTGATTTCTGTTTAATGTATAGCATGTGTTGAAGTCAAGCCATGTCCCAGAACCTAAAACCACAGCTGCAAAGAAGTTCGTTTCAGCCCTAACTCCCAAAGAGGGTGCTCCCTGACATCTACTTGTCCGGCAGCCATTCCCTCCTCCCCTTTCCACGATCTCCACTCCACCAGCTCCAGTCGGTGCCCTGGCAGGCCTCGGACTGGGCGTTCTTGCACATGGCCTCACTGGATATTCTCAGCAGTCCAGCGGATGTTATTACCCCATTGTTACAGACACAATACCTAAGATTAAGGCAGGCTCAGTGACTTGCCTGAGGTCACATAGCCTGAATGGCACAGGTAGGACTCAGAACTAGAGCAGCTGGACCAAGCCCGAGGCCTAGAGATTTTTTTTAATAGGAGCAAGGAGACCCAAGCTCTGTGCTTGGGCTGCAACCTTGTCTGCATTCCCCAAGCAGGTCAGCAGCCTTGTATCACATCACTACTGTTAATGTGCTAACAAGAGTGTGCTGAAGTCAGATGAGGGGGCAGAGGAGAGATGGGAAGGGGGCTCTGACACCACACAGGTGCATCTTCATCAAGCCAGTCACTGCTTCTGTGCCGTGGTGTCACCAACTATAATATAAGGTGTGCTAGACCCCATGGGCCCAAGGTGCTGAGCAGAACTAAGCGAGAAATGAAGCTTCCTCCACAAACCACAGTCAAGTGTGAGCATGTGAGTGTGCATGTGAGTGTGAGAGGATCAGTGTGAGTGTGAATGTATGAGTGTGTATGACTGTTAGCGTGTAGTGTGTATATGTGTGACCGAAACTGTGAGTATTGAATGTGTGCGTGTGCGTTAGCGTGTGCACGTGCAGACCCCTCTGTGCAGTTTGAAGTCTGACTGTCCTGCTTGCCTGCCTTGTGTCCCACTGCCCAGAGCAGTGTGTGGCAGGAGCAGTGCTCCATGAGCATCAGCCCTGCAGACCAGCGTGAGCCACGTGACCTTAGACGATTCTGATGCCCAGAATGGGGCTTGGGCTGTGACTAGTTCAGGGCCACAGCCGATCTGTAACTCAGCGCTGACCCAGCTCCAGGCCGCGCCACCTCTTCCCTCCTCCTCCTCTTCTCTCGCCCCCCTACTCCAGCCCAGCCCAATCCACCCTTGGTGTGAGGGGAAGTGACACTTCCTTTCATGAAAAGTCACCGAGGAGGAGCACTCTGTCGATTTTGACAATACTGGTAACGGCAGCCTCAACAACAACCAGCAGACCTGGCCCCACCCCCTTGCCTGAGGTGCTTGGCTTAAGTTTCTCTGAGCTTCAGCTGGAGCCCTAACAAAGGCGGCCTTTGAATCAGCCAGTCCACTCTGGCCGGGAGCCTGCCGCCTGGCAGAGTCCTGGTGTGGCACTGCTCCAGTGGGCTGTTTCTGGAGGGCTGCTCTCCAGCCAGACAGCTGGACATGGGACCCCAAGGGCTCGGGGTACAGCTTCTGCCACAGCCTTGCCTCAGTATCTCAGCCGGGTGTGGGGGGACAGGGTCTACCAGCTGCTGGGTTCAGGATGGCAACCCGGAGAGAGTATAGAAAGGTAGGGGCATGAGGCACCAAATGTGAGACTGCCAACTCACAGGCCTCACTGGGACACAGGTCTCTCTTAGAAGCTCTGGCTTGTCCTAAGAAACCCCATTCCAGGATGGGGTTGCATCCTCACAACCCTCCCCTCCAAGTCTGGGTGACATATGATGGTAACAGTAGCAGCTCCACCCTTGAACTCTTTCCCATGCCCCCAAGAACTTTGTTACTCCTTCCATTGCACCTGGAGAAACCAGATGCAGGGGCTTGTCCGAGAGGTGCCCAACAGTACAGGCACAGCCTGACCCCTTCGGGGGCACTCCTCTGCTTCTGTGCCTTCCACTCCCCTTCCGGAGCCCCGAGGGGGGCTCTCGGGAGTACGCTCGCTCGTGGTGCAGGAACTAGAAGGGATCCCTGGGCCATCCCAGCCAGTTTCCCACCGGGAGATAGAAGACAAAGAGAAGGAGGGTTAGGGTTCTCGGAAGCCTGCCCTCCCTCACGGTGGGACAGGGGTGGTCTCCGGACCTGTTTCTCAAACAGTAAAGAAAGGAAGGGCCGACTCTCTGAGGTCTTTCTACCTCCGCCACTCCAGGTTCCCAGAGCAGACGGTGCCGGCGCTCGGATGGACTCTGAAACTCCACTTGGAACCCACCGTCTAGCCGCCATCTCCCGTCCGTCCCTGCCCTGCAGGCGCAGCAACCCCGACACCCCACCGCGGGTGGTGCTCTGGTGGGGCAAGAAATGCTGGCTATTCGCCCTTAGGCCAGGAGACCCTCCTCGCTGGCTAACGACCCCACACAGGGACGTTGGCGCAGAGACCCCCAAGCTCTTGGGGGTCTGCAGGCGTGGGGAGTATAGGTGGTGCCGGCGGACGCTGCGGAAGAAACCCATCCCTCCCGGCTGCCTTTCCCTCTGGGGACCCGAGCGGCAGGAAAGACAAGAGAGGACAGGAGAATGGAGTGCGGCGACCCCCTTGCTGCCACCGGGCCGAGGAGGGTGGGCAGAAGACTCGAAGGGAGACCCGGGAAGAAAAGGGAAAAGGCGAGAGGAAAGAGAAAGGGTAGGCGAGAAGCTGTGAGCGCCGAGGGAGCGCGGCCCGGGCGGAAAGAGGAACCAGCGATTCTTCAAAGTGCGCGGAGCAAGTTCTTCAAAACCCGCGCAGCGTCACTTTCAGGAAACGGCGGTGCGGTGGGGAGCGCGCCTCGGACTCGAGCTTCTTCCCAGCCGTGCGGCGGGTTCTGAGAACGGAGGCGCAGACTGGAGCAAGAGGGGGGCGGCCGGGGCAGACGGAGGCGGGGCAGACGGGGTGGGGGGCAGATGGGGGTGGGGGGCAGATAGGGAGAAACGGAGGGGGGCAAGTGGGGCGGGTACAATGGGGGACCAGGAGCAGATAGAGGTGGGAGCAGATGGGGGCGGAGGGCAGGGAGAAGGTCGCGGACAGCTGTCACAACAAATTAGCTGAGGCCAGCTCGAGATTGAAACCACAGCAGGAAGTGGGATGACAGAGCGTGCAGGACTCGGTACATCTCAGTCAGGAGACGGCGAGAAGAGTTTCGAGATAAACGTCCGGGAAGCCCCTGGCCACCAGAACTTTTTGTCTTTCCTTTTTCGAAGAGCGCGCGCCGACACCTGGCCTCCCTCCCGAGCGGGCGGAGGCGCTGGCACTTCGGGCCGGCAAAGTCCCTGGGCCGGTCGGGTCCCCGTGCCTTGCAGTGCGCCCGAGTCCCGCTCCGCCCCCCCGAAGTGGCGCCCACTTCGAAGTGGCCGCGAGGACCGGGGAGACCCAGCGCCCCAGTCACGCGCTCCACACCCCCCCCCCACCCCCGCCCCGGGCCGCCAGCCCCTTCCCCACCGGCAGTGAGCGGCTTACCCATAGCCCGCAGACGTTCCGCGGCGAGCCCAGCCCTCCGCAAGCTCCACTTTCTGACCCGGAGCTCGCGGCGCCGCCTAGAGGACCCGCCCTCGCCCCGCCCGCTCCTGTGCCGGGCTCCGCCCCGCCCGCTAGTACAGCACTGCCCCCGCCCCGCTCAGGCTCCGATTGGTGAGTCCGAGTCTCCACCGGGGCCAGGGTCGGCCCCTTGAGCCCGAGGGACTCCGGGAGTTGTAGTGTGCTCTCCCCTCCCTAGGCTCTAGGCTCCTGAAATAGGTTCCCCACCTTGTGGGCTGAAGAAGGACACCCAGGAATGGCTGTTGCCTTCTTCTCTATAGAGGCCCAACTATATAGTCTTGGGAAAATCCTCCTTGCTTGCGGCAGGCTACTGAGGGTTGGGTGGCATGAATAAAGTGCTTCTGACTTTGGCGTGAACTGGATGGTGGATGTTTCCCAACTCCCAGCTTAACATGCAAGTAGAGGTGGTTGGTGTTAGCCAAACAAGGACCCCAGCACAAACTATAAAGTCTTTGGCCAAAGTTCTCTGGGGTCCCAGAAATGCCTAGAATAGGGAAGCCTGCCCTCGGTGGCCAATGTCCACATATATCATGAAGACAGTGACAGTTACAAAGTAAGCAGTGCAGAGAGGGGCAGGACCCTGCTGGGAGAGATTAGGGTGAGGCTTAGGGTGGAGAGGGGGCTAGAGGAAATGCTGAGCCAGTGAAGAGGGTTTCCACTGGAGTGAGGAGTAACTCGCCCAGCCATGTGCACATCACAAAGAGGAAACCCAGGCTGATGCCTGAGAGCCTATGGTTTGGCAGCATCATTCACAACAGACAAAAAATGGAAGCAACCCAGTGTCCATGATGGATGAATGGATCAACTGGAGTATACGCATGCAATATTATAGCATATTACTCAGTCTTAAAAAGTACGGAAATTCTGACATATGCTGCAGCATGGATGAACCTCAAAGACATTATGCTGAGTGAAATAAACCAGACACAAAAGGACATATACAGTACGATCTAACTTATGTGAAGCATTAGAATCAAAATCACAGAGAAAAATAGTAGAATGGTGGTTGCCAGGGGTTGGGGGAAGGGGAAAAGGGGAGGTGGTATGTAATAAGGATAAAGATTTAGTTTGGCCAGATGAAAAAGTTCTAGAGATGGATGGTGGTGATGGTTGCACAACAAGGTGAATGTACTAATGTCACTGACCTGTCCACTTAAATGGTTCAAATGGACTCTGACTGGGTAGCTCGGTTGATTAAATCATCATCGTAATGCATCAAGGTTGCAGGTTTGATCCTGGTCAGGGCGCGTATAAGAACCAACCAATGAATGGGTCAATAAGTAGAATAACAAATCAATGCTTTTCTCTCAAATTAATTTAAAAATGGTTAAAATGGTAAATTTTGTGTTGTATACTTTATCAGAATTTGGAAAAAGAGCCTAAGGTCTCAGCACGTATTTAGCTAGGACTTGAACCCTGTTCCTAACACATAGTAGGTACTCACAATTTTTTGTTAATTAGCTTTTTAATATTTTTAAAAAGATTTTATTTACTCTTAGAGAGAGGGGACAGGAAGGAAAAAGGTTGGGAGAGAAACATCACTGTGTGGCTGCCTCTCCCAAGGCCTGTACTGGGGACTACGCCTGCAACCCAGGCACATGACCTGACCAGGAATTGAACCAGTGACTCTTTGGTACTCAGGCCAGTGCTCAATCCACTGAACCACACCAGTCAGGGCTGTTGATTGGTTTTGTTACAACAGTCCTATGCAGTTCACATCATCATTGTCTTCATTTTATAGGGTAAAACTGAGGTTCTGGGAGATTAATTAGCTCAAGTAGCACAGCTAGTCAAGGGTGGCGCCTGAACTAAACACGAGCTTTGGGGCTCCCGGACGGGTCTTCTTAACCATTCCCCTCAGCCGTCTCTTGGCAGTGCTGGTACAGAATCAGGGACTATGGCTTGAGGCGGAGAGCCTAAAGGGGAAGACCTGAGCTCGGGTGAAGAAGTAGGGACCACTGAGATGTCCAGTTAGCAGCTGGACCTGAGGCCTGGAGTCCAGGAGGAAGGCACAGACTGGAAATACAGACAAATAGTTAAGAAGCCCCTGTGCCCAGGCACCCACCAACCCTGTTCGCACCTATTTTTGCCCAGCCATCACCCTAGATGGCCCTGCTGAATGGTCATCTCACTTCCCTCTCTGGTGGAGGGAAGACCTCTCTCTCCAAGCTCAGCCCAGGGTGAATGACACTGTATATAGCCTCCCTTCTTTTTTTTTTTTAAGTAAATTTATTTTTTAGATTTTATTTATCTTTAGAAGGGAAGGGAAAGAGAGAGGGAGAGAAATATCAATGTATGGTTGCTTCTCATGCATCCCCTGCTGGGAACTGGCCCCTGCCGGGAACTGGCTTGCAACCCAGGCATGTGCCCTGACTGGGAATCGAACCTCGATCCTTTGGTTCACAGGCCCCTGCTCAATCCACTGAGCTGCACCAGCCAGGTATAGCCTCCCTTCTTTATCTCACAATGAGTTGGTTTGTAACAGCCAGGAGCCTGTAGATTTGGTAACAGACACATGGTTGCTGATATTTACTGCTTGCCCCAAACAATCCGTATAATGGTGAGTGTAATAGTGCATCCCACTTCCCAGTTTACAAGCTCTCCAGGACAGCTGAGGCTGTGATGGCAGACAACGTGATGCAATGCCATCAGGACGTTCAAAAGACTTCTAGTCTCACCTTCATCCATCCTATAAGAATCGAGTGCCTAAATTTGGGGGGAGACCTGGCTGCTGCCCTCAGGGTCAGAGTTTAGGTCAACCCCTCTCTCCTGAATTAGATACACCCCTGATGAGGAACTCACTGCCTTACAAAGCAGCAGCTTATCCCTCACAGGACAGAGTTATTCCACCAACCAGACAGCTAAGCACACTCTTACAGATAGTAGCTGTTGTGCAAAGCCTCAGCGAGTCAACACCTGTCTGTGCCAACCTGGGAACAATATGATGTAAATTTAATTGCCTCCTGAGGGAACTTTGCAATAGAATGTAATTTACAATGGCCAATAAGTCTTGCTTAGGAACGACATTATCTTCCTTTGCTTCCCTAAAAGCATAAACACCTCCATTGCTTGAGCCACTATCTAACACAACTCCACCTCCTGCCCGCAGCCTGCCTCCAGCCTCTGGGCCCCAGCTTAAAGTGGCCTGAGAATAGTTGCTTTGCCTTTAAGGGTTGGGGTCTCTCCATGTGTGTCAATTTAAAAAAAGCTTTTTTAAAAGATGCCACTAATAAACACACTCTGCCTGTAAAAGTGTTAAATAAATCAGTGCTCTCTGACACCACTCCAAATTCAGTTCCCTCCTGCCCCAAAGATGAGGACTATTATCAGATTGGATAAAATCTTCCAGAACTTTTCCTATGTATTTTTATGAACATACATATCCATGGTGTAGAAAAACATGTAACTTTGTTTTGTGAGTATTTTAAAATAAATGATGCAATTCTAATTGTTCCATTCTGCAACTTGCTTTTCTGCCCAACAGTACATTTTGGAGATTCCTCCACATCAGAACACAGATCTGCTTCTCATGGGAGACAGGCTGCATTACTTGGCTCGCAGCTACCATAACATCTCTGTTTAATTCCCTGTAGATGGTGCTTAACCTTTTTACAATCACTTGAATCCTTTGAGAACATTCTGGACCTCCTTAGAATACTCTCAGGGCTCAGAGCTCACAAAGTATTCCCAGAGGCTGAGCTAAAAACTGCCCTCTTCTAACTCCTACTTCCAAGTCATAGAACCCCTTGCTGGCTCAGTTCTATGAAGAAAATCTGGTTCTGGGCATGGTTCTTTTCCTGGAGCTCCCAGAGCTGGAGGGACCATTCAAAGTCTTCTTTCCACCTAGCCTTATTTTAGAGAGGAGGCCATCAGGCCCAGAGATGGTAACCAAGTTGCCTGAGGTCACACAGCAAATCATTGTTGTGCCTTCTTCTGGGACCCAGTACACTCAGGAAATAACACACGTTTTCTGTCCTGCCAGTTTTCTGCCCTGGGAAAGTCTGTTCCCAGGCTCAGCTGTTGCAAAAGGCCCCCAGGGCTTTGTTTTCAAAGGAAAAATGAAGCGGGAAGTATTTTTAACCGTTGGCCGCCTTGCTCCTGCCTCGCTCCCTCTCCCTCACGATAGCTGTCCAGGAAAGGCTGGCTTCACAGTGGCATTAGCAACTCATGGAAAACAACAAACGCCCAAAATAGAGATTGCCAGCTCAGGAATGGAAAAAATTGGCTCATGGCTTCAAATGCCTCTTTTAGAAAAAGCCAAGAATAGCTTTCGCCTTTGGGGAACTGCTGGGGGTGAGAGAGTGGGGAGGCGTGGTGTTAGGGTAAGGATCCAGCGCAGATCATTAAGGGCCCAACTCCCTGCCTAAAGAGCTTTGGCCCTGTTCCCCCATGGAACGTGAAAACTCACTTCCCCAGCTTTGTCCACACTGGACACCAATCCACACCTGGATGTCTCTTCCCTCTGCCCTCCAGCCCCCTCTGCCCTGCCCTTCAGCTGAATCAGAAACAACTTCCTTTCATGGGTTGGATGGAGGCTGGGAGCATCCCCCACTTCCACAAAGGTCCCAGCAGGCTGGAAACCAAGAATCTGCACTTCCTGAGCCCGAATGGTGAAAGTCCAATTCCTTTGTGTGTGTGTGTGTGGGGGGGCGGTTTGGGGGGGGGAATGAGAGAAAATTTGTTTTTTTACCATCCCCACTCACACAGCCCAGCTCTGCAGTCTTAGGCAGTCACTTGACCTCTTGGAACCTCAGGTCCCTCATCTGGAAAACCAGGGTTATGCTTTATTTATTCATTCATCCACTATATGTTGTGGTCCTACTATGTGCCAGGCCTCTGCTAGACTCTGGGGACATAGCCATGATCAGACAAAGATCCAGAAGGTGTCCCTTGCCAACCTCACAGGCTGCGGAGAATCGGCCACTCCTTTTTCAGAC